GAAAAGGAAATGAAAGGAAGAATTTCATTCACAAAAACAATGATTTCTGTGAAAATTTCTTGAACTTTCAAGATGTTATATATATACTATATATAATATATATATATATATATATATGTCGCAGCCGATTAAGGATTTCAGCCGAAGAAGTCTCAGACTTCTTCGGCTAGCCGATTAAGTCTCAATTTTTTTCGCTAGCGAAACCTTCTTCGGCTAGCCGATGAAGTCTCAAAAATGAAATCTATGACTCAAGTCAATACCACAAACTCAAGCTCTCAAAAAGGCGCTTAAAAGCTAAAAACTTGTAGTGCTATTCTCTCTTGAATTGAATCAAGAGGTGCTTTACAATCATGGGATCAAAGGCAATTTGGACAAACCTAAGAAAGTCGTCAAGAACGAGGAGCTCTTTGGCCGGTTAACGATCAACAGAAATTAGTGTAGCTTAAACAAAAATGCACAGTAACAAAAAGAAAAAATAGGATTGAAATCAGGGGTTATGTTCGATTATAAACAGATTAGTGGTAAATAAGTTTTATCGATGATCCAAAAAAGGGGCAAATTGACTTACAAAAACAAACAATTCTATTTCAAATAAATGACGAATCAGATAGAAAATGGCGAAAAGGGCCCTTTCATAGCCTTTGGTTACAGTATGATAAAATGCGCACTCTTTAGAATGCGTTTTTAGCTTTGAAGCGCCTTTTAGAGAGCTTGAGTTTGTGGTATTGACTTGAGTCAATACATAACTCAAGATTTCATGTTTGAGACTTAATCGGCTAGCCGAAGAAGGTTTCGCTAGCGAAAAAATTTGAGACTTAATCGGCTAGCCGAAGAAGTCTGAGACTTCTTCGGCTGAAATCCTTAATCGGCTACGACATATATATATATGCTTTATTCAGGGGCGAATAGAAGCTGCTAATAGAAGCGAATCAGATAATGATAACCGCATATAACATATGCTGCTACAATACTTTCACAAAAAAAAGAAAGAAAACAAAAAATGGTACAGTAAGACTACAGGAAAAACAGGTACAAAAAGATTTGAAGAAAGAAGAAAAAGATAGGGCAGATTTGACATGGCAATAAGATCTAATTCGTTTACAGATACTTTCAATTTTCCTACAGACGAGAGGATACCAGACGGGAGCTTATTCCAAGTCCAAGACGAGAGCTTATTCCAAGTCCAAGACAAGAGCTTATTCCGAATCCAAGACGGGAGCTTATTCCAAGTCCAAGACGAGAGCTTATTCCAAGTCCAAGACGGGAGCTTATTCCGAATCCAAGACGGGAGCTTATTCCAAGTCCAAGACAAGAGCTTATTCCAAACCCTACTAATACGGTTCGCAAAAGAATGATAAAGGGAGAGATGATGGGGATGAGAACCGATCGAAATTTGATAAGAATCACTAGGTGTACTTCTAGGAATTCAAAATTACAGATACTTTCAATTCTCTTCAATTTCCTTCAAGTTAAAAGTTTCTAAAATGAAATTGAATGCAGTCAAATGCAAATTCATTGTAGTAAAATAAAAAAGTAAAAGTAAAAGTAGTAAAGTAAAATGAATCTATCATTTGCAGTTGCTCGAAAGTGCAGAAGCTGATGGGATTTAGTTATTAGCTGATGGGAGTTAAAAGCTACTATCGCCATAAGATGTCTTTGTTGACTGAACATTACATTATATTTTTTTTTACAAAAACCTAGCGTTTATAGTTTCAAAGATGTGTAGACAACAGAAATTTGTCTGCGAAATTTGTTGTCTTATTTCAAAACAAAAAGGATCTACATCTGCAAAAACCCTTCAATTTCTCATTTTCCCGAGTCTCATTTTCGATAGTGGGGATGGGGAAAAGCCGTGAAAAACGAATTACCACACCCAGACATCGATGCACTCTCATTTGACTTTAGAGAGACTAAAGCAAATTCCATTTCTAAGTTGATTTTTGTTCATCGGTGATTCCAAAAATGGCTACAAATGGCTTTAGTTAGATACGAATCGGCTAGAGTCATCCTGTGCCTTTTCACCTTTCGTACAGCGGAAAGAATTACGATTTGGAGTAGCTGAGAAAATTTGTTCTTTCAGAAAATTGGTCCCTTGCTGCATGGCTCACAGACTTGACCTAGACTTGAACATGACTCTTGGCCTGGGCTGGTCCTAGGGTCAAATTTCTGGTCAAGGTTAGGCCAGAGCCAAGCCAGGCAAGGGCCAAGCCAAACCAGACAAGGGCCAAGCTAAGCCAGACAAGGGCCAAGCCAAGCCAGACAAGGGCCAAGCCAGACAAGGGTCAAGCCAGACAAGGGTCAAGCCAAGCCAGGCAAGGGCCAAGCCAGACAAGGGTCAAGGCAAGCCAGGCAAGGGCCAAGTCAAGCTAGACAAGGGCCAAGTCAAGCCAGACAAGGGCCGAGTCAAACCAGACAAGGGCCAAGCCAGACAAGGGCCAAACCAGACAAGGGCCAAGTCGTGCCAGACAAGGGCCATGCCAGACAAGGGTCAAGCCAAGCCAGGCAAGGGCCAAGTCAAGCTAGACAAGGGCCAAGTCAAGCCAGACAAGGGCTAAGCCAGACAAGGGCCAAACCAGACAAGGGCCAAGTCAAGCCAGACAAGGGCCAAGCCAAACCAGACAAGAACCAAGCCAAGCCAGACAAGGGCCAAGCCAGACAAGGGTCAAGCCAAGCCAGGCAAGGGCCAAGTCAAGCTAGACAAGGGCCAAGTCAAGCCAGACAAGGGCCGAGTCAAGCCAGACAAGGGCCAAGCCAAGCCAGACCATCTTTTCCCAAAACCTATATGTTTTAAATTAACTTTTAAGCACCTCATCTAGTTTATTCATGCTTGTGAACGCTTTAGAATGAAAATTCTGAAGCTTTGTCTTAAGATCAAATTTCCCGACTAAGCCTGGCCTAGAGGATCAGCTCTGCTCTTGACTGAGCTCTGCTCGGATTTGGACTACAAGTTCTGGACCTGGACATTACATGACCTAATAGTTAGCTTAGAAGCCTTATTGGCAGAGTATTGGAGTAAATACTAGGCACAGGATTGTTCCAACCAGGTTTATAGTTAGGGAAAGTAAGCCAGATGAGAAACCAAGTTTAAATCTTGTACAACATTGGAAGGGCCAAGCCTGGGCCATCGAAGTAATGGACCAGGGTCAAGGCGGACAAGGCTACCTGGCCTAGAAACATGCCATTGAACGACTCCTAAATACTAGATGTAAAGGGATACGAGTACAAGGAGGGACAAGTTATTTAGAGTGCTTACTATCAGCTATCAGTTCTACATTTGATTGTTACTACAGTAGAAGGAAAAGGACCCATTAAACCCAAGGACCCATTAAACACAGATTTTTGACGTTCAACTGCCTTTTTCTTGAAGGCCACCAAAACAAGGCCTTTAATCGAATCTGTGAAGCCAAAATTAAACCCAAAACATCCCAAACTTGTGACCTCGAAATGGATAAGGTGAATGAAAGAAATAATTAAACGATGTAGAGAAAAAGGGATGAGAAAAGAGAGTAAACATTGATGAAGATGGGAGAGGAGGAGGTGACGTAGCTTTGGAATGAGCACGGGTAGAGGAATTTGGTCACTTCTTTTTTTTCTGATGACATCACTTTTTAAAAAAGAGCACAATCCAAAGGAAAGTTCAGGAAAGGGTATTTTTGAGTGAAAATAGTTTAGCCCTAAATTGAAATTATTCAAGTTTTAGCGTAGTATTCAAAAATCGTATTTAAAATCCTGAAAACACATGATTAGCCAAGATGATCGAACAAAAGCCATGATGTTTTCTAAAAGATTGGAAAAGCTACCGTAATCCGTATGGAGCTACCGTAATCCGTATGGATAAAGCTATCGTATCCCGTGTTCTATCAATCTACCGTGTTCCTAAAATCTAAAATCTAAAATCAATCTAAATTTAAACCAATCAATAATCAGCTGCCTCTGCATCTTTACCCATTCAACCAATATAGAAAATAGGTACCTAATTTTAAAAACATATCAACTTACAGTAAGCTTGAGATTACGATAGTTTTCCCTTGAATGCACCTTCTAGAATGACGAAGAACATCATCTAATTCTCTATAGAAAGAAAACTTTAAGAAAAAAGACACCAAACTTTAAGAAAACCAAAGTCTGACGAACTTCTCTGTTCTTTAACAGCAAAGAACGTCAATCCATTTTCAAATACATCATTTTTCGTCAAAAAAAAAACCGGAAAACTCTCTGGCAGAGGCCTTTTCTTAATGCAGCACAACAAACAATTAGCCGTCAACAAAAGATTTCTCTCTTTTTCAGTTTCCTTTCACTTGCAGCTGGCCGTTTCTCTGAATCATCGGGAACATTGTTGAATTTGTCAAAAACTTCAAAACACTTTAGTGGAAACGCTAAAAATATTAAAAATTTCAGGTATTTTAACGCTTAAAAATACAAAAAGCATAAAAACCTTGTGCTCTTTCAGAAAATCCTTTTCGTATCCCCATTCTCCAAGACTATAATTAGAATGAAACCAAATAACCTATGAATTCGAAATTTTTACGATATTGCGTATGCCAAAATGTTTCATATGCCAAAATGTTTCAAAATGCCAAAGAAAATTTCACTTTCAAACTCCAGTCGAAATTAGAAAGTGACTGGGTGAAGGGGTGAGTCTAATGGCGACGTAATTGAGAAAGTTCATCAAGTTGCTAAAAATGGCTTAGCGGGGTAAAAAACGGCGAGCGTTTGTGGGAATCACGTAGGTGCCTTAAAATTTTTACCTAAAATGCTCTAGTCTTCAATTTTCTAGTGTTATGCCCTTTTCATCAGGCTTCCAAAAGTGGTTTAACGATTTAGAGAATGTCAATAGAAAAACTCAGCTTCCATAAATGCTTTTTCTCACTATCATTTAAAACTATTACATCTGAAAATTTATACATCACCGTGCTTTAAAAAGAAAAAAAAATAACAAGACAAGACATCTTTCATGTCGGAAACTCCATATCACAATGAAAATTACGTGCTTTAAATTATCCGGGTGGCCATTGTAGTTGACGTCCACCTAAAGATTTATTGATTAGTAAGAGACAAAAATGAAAACGAAAAACATACCGAGAACATGAATGTGAAGATGAAAGACGGATTGACATCCATCTTTGCCATTGTTGATAACCTTGAAAATCTTAGTTACTTGATTTGAAATATATATGTCGTAGCCGATTATGAATTTCAGCCGATTATGAATGAGTGGGTCGGGACGCGTCCAACCATCAAGTATTTGGTATCATTCAACGCAGAACCATTGATAATTATGTTAAATTTTTTAAATTAGAAAGATTGGATGAAAAGAAAAAAAAATTATGAAGCTTCAAAGTTTTCTCTTGAACAAACAGTTTTTTGCTCTAATTTTTTTTCTTTTTTATCAAATCTTGCTAATTTAAAAAATTTAACATAATTATCAATGATTCTGCCGTGAATGATACTAAATACTTGATGGTTGGACGCTCCTAGACCCATTCATTCATAATCGGCTACGGCGGTCCCGCCGATTTTGAATGAAACGTTGTAGCGGCGGCAATTTTTAACCTAAACTCACAAATTTGGTAACAATAGACGCAGAATTTAATTCGCTACAAGATGATATAATATTGTCCTCATACATTAAAGGGTTGCTCTACTAGAAAGATTTGCCAAAAAATTTCATTCATAATCGGCTACGACATATATAAAGCCGCAATTAGACAACAAATCTAATTTATTTTAAATTTTATCAAAAATTAGCTACCAACGTTGGGTATCTAACAAGCAAAGTGTTTGCAAACAATTTTCGACTTGAGTTTCTAAAAACACACCAAACGATATCCGTTATCCAGATGAAGCTCCTTGGCAACATTCTTTGCCGTCAACAAAAGTTTTCCGAGCAGCGAAGCATCCTAAACGTGACCATTTGTGACGTTTTATTAACCGATTGATATAAAGATTTACAAATAAATTTGCTATTACAAACTATCTACAAAACAACTTGTAGTACCAATTTGAAATCTGTTGGAAATTGTTAAAAGCAATTGAATTAAAAAAAACAGACCACATCAGAAGCGTCTTCAATTGATGGAATCGCTTTCTTTGGGATAACGAGAAAATGAACTGGCGCTTGAGGGGAGACGTCGTGAAAGGCAAGAACCTAAACAATAATTCTAAAAATGCGATTACCTAATATCATATTTTAAAAATTAGCCTAAGTGGCAATTTAGCCCTGGTAAATATTGGGTTGGTGGAAAAGTCCTTCACGAATCACGAAACACATGTTTTTAGCCTAGGTTTCTGCACGAAAAACTAACGAAACGTGAAAACAGCCATTTTTTTTGGCTCTGCCGCCCTTTACTAAAATAGCTGTAAAAACTTTTAGAAAAGAGATATCTCAAAACGGTTTTTACCAATCGATCCGTCTTGAATTCAGCTTTAGGATGAGCTATAAAACGGTCAAAATTCGACAAATTTAAGGTACTCTCCCAAAAAATCCGAAAGGACTTTTCCACCAACCCAATACTTACTTTTACTTATAGTTTTCAATATTAGGTAAATATTTAATTTCAATTTTTCAAAAACCTTACATCATCATCCTCGAAAATGATTTTAGCGGGGATTTCTTTTCGGATGATTTTGCCGAAAAGTGTGTCGCCTCCTTTCTGCGCAGTTTGCGCTTTTTCAACTTCTGAAGCCATCCCTCTTACCAATAATCTAAAGTTAGAATTATAATGCTGAAATGAGCTATGTAAACGATAAAATGAAAAAGAAAAACGCACAAATGGGACCGACTAACAGGGTTTCTTCCACTACAAAGACTTGCGGCGCTTCGGGTGAATTTGAAAATTGAAGCCGCGCGCCGGAAAACCAGCATTTCTGAAACCAAACAAAGGAGTTTTAGCTCTAGTTACCAAGAGAAAATATAAACGATTGCACAAAAGGTATAAAGTACAGGTGTCAATTCAATAATAGGTAAGTATCAGCTAAACATGGTACTTGGGATCAAACTTGTCGTTGGTAGCTATTTTAACACGGTCAATTACAACTTTGACAGCTAAGTAATTGGAGTACTGCTCAAGATGAAGCATATCAACTGTAATTGTTAAACTTCGTAGAATGTGGTTTGGAAAAATTATAAGATCCCTAAAAAAGTGCCAGAAATTTATATGCGTTTTGATGCCGCCACTCATCATTTTTATCTACCAGGCAATTCTAATCTGGCTACTTTTTAATAGTTCTAGCAATAAGTTGGCGATAATTAGTTTTTCAACCTAGTAAATCTCAATTACCGACCAGCAAAAACGGGGTGCTAGCAAAAGCCACAAATTATTTGCGCCGCGTATCATTTGTGCTTTTCAACGCACTTTCCTACGAACTCTGAGTGACGATTTATATCTTTTTTACAGTTTTTCCTCGTTGATGATGCTCGCTATTTTGCCGCCTTCACCGGCTCTGGCATAAGATCGATTAGGAGAGTAAAAAGCCCAATCCGGAACACAAAAAGGACTGTTTTTGGGGTCTGTATAGGTATTTAAACGTGTTTTCTACTTGAAAACAGTGAGAACTAAGCAAAAAACTGAAAAACTGAAGCAGAAAACTAAAAAAAAAGTTCGTTAGAAGTCGGGAAAAAGTGATTTGTCACAGTGATTTTCATAAGCGTAAATATGGCGCAAATGATACACGGCGCAAAGGATTTTGACGCAAAAAACGCGGCGGTTTTACTTGCACCTTCAAAAACGACCTAGTAAGACACCTTGATGGTATTAGCCCAGGTTAAAAAAACCGGATGATAGTGCGAAAACTTTGGAGAGAAGAAATGCCTACCTTTTAAGTTGTAGGATCTTAAATAGGTAGTTTTTAGCTGAATATCTTGAAAATTGTGGTGGTTAAAGAAAGATATTCAGTTAAACAACTTTTGCGGTCGATTGCACTTGACGGAATACTTTTAAAGTGAGAAATTTTCTTTAAAATTTTCACTTTCAGCGAAGAAATTTCAGTTTCCAAAAAAATTTATGAATGTGAAAAAATTTTATATGAAAAAGTTTTCGAATTTTTTCAGCCGCGTTGTTTTTTTCTTGTTTTCGTGTTGAATTGCCTTCGGTTTTTACCACCAAAAGAGCTACGTCGTGAGCCAAAGTACGCCGATTCGGCCAGAAACTTACCCCGAGTAAACTCTCGTACTCTAACATAATTTTACCTTGAAGTAGAAGCACAATGGCTTCTCCTTTACTATGCAATGAGATCCACCACCAAGTTGATAAAGGCGCTTATTGTTCCTTCATGAAATTTTCTCTATTTTGTTGGTTAACTTTAAAACACAAAAGCAAAGTGATTGTTTTCTAGGATCGGATCCCCAAACGTTTGTTGAATGTTTTGATGCTGTTCACGTACGGGTGCAAATCACGGCTTTGTCTTGTTTTGCTGACAAAATGGCGTCGTCATCGGCCAACCTCACCGAGCAGTTTGTCCACAAACAACTCACCGATAGCACGGCAAAAATCTTGGACGATTTGGGATTTACGGTGCGTGGTCTTTTTGAAGACTCATCTATGTATGAAAGCTATGATTTTGGCCAGTATCGGTTTCGTTAGCAAGATTAGTTTAAAATCGAATTCAAATTTTATTTAGCAAAATTTGGTCAAAATCAGCATTTGCGCTTTCAAAATTGGCGCACTTTTTGCCGCTTCTAGAATGCCAAAATAACAAACTGCCTTTGTCAAATCTTGCCGTAAAAAGTTTTTGAAAGCAAACGTGGAAATGAAGCTTTAAGACAAAAGATCGATGAATTCTGTGGAAAAATTGTCAATCTAATGACCATATCCATTTATCTAACGTAGAATGACGTTTTGGTGTCATATTTAAGCGGTGATATGACTTGTTTATCTTGTTCTAAATTACGCAACAAGTTGCTAAAAAGCTCAGTGATTTTAGGGAAAAAAGAAAAGGGATACAAACAAAATGATAGAACTTCAAAGAAAAACAAACTTTATTTCTAATGAAATACAATTTTAGTCTACCTCGAGCGGGTCATTAGATGTTCTCGCGGACGTCATGCGGCGCTACCTGGAGAACGTGTGTCGACAGGCAAAAATCTTCATGGAACATGGTAATATTTTAGATTCACTCAAAATCTATGCTTTTGAAATATCAAACAATTTTGCAAACTAGGTGGTCGCAGTAATTTTGATGTGGAAGATGTAGAACACACATTTCAACGCCTTGAAATCAATGGGATGGAGTTGTTTGACTATATGGATCAAGTAAAAAAAATGTTCGCTTCTACATAACCCCAACTTTTTAGATCGGCTCCACTCAGAAAAAGCTCTTGGTCAATGGATCAGCCACACCAGTGCCTTCACTTAAATCTACTGTTGGTCTTTAGTTTTCAAAGTAACCTATAACCATTTATCAGGTACTACCTCAACTATCTATGCTTCCATCGACTAGCGAAACGATCTCCATGGCGAACCCAACGGAAAATGAAATCAACGAAAGGATACGTGAAGATGGACATATATTACCGTTTTTCCCAACATTGTTGCAACAAACCAACACCAAAGGTATGTACAAGTTGCTAACGTCAAGATATAATAGCATCTAAAAGCGCTAAATCTTCATTTAAATGTACACAATTAGTCGAAATTTTCAGAAACTGTAATTGACGATGTTGAGACACCTTCTACAAGCGTTCCGAAAATGGAGTCTGAAAAGAGATTGTACGTAACTTTACAAAACAGCAAGTCATGTACAATTTGTAGTGTCAAACAAAAAGACGAATTTCCGGCATTTGAGGGAGATGCTATTTCATTGGGAATCGTGAGAAAAGCGACGATGTTTGTTTCACGTTTTGGTAGGCTTAAAATTTAAAATTCTTCAACGATAACTTAGATCAACCACGACCGGCGACACCATCAACAAGTGCAACAAGTATACTCACAAAGAAGATCAAGAAAGAGAATATTGTAACTTAGATCAATGAAGTTTATGTTTAAAAGTATTTAGCATCAACCAAAATCCGCACGGGCCAGCCCGGTTCCTGCGCATTCTCCCTCACCATCTACCTCATCAACAAATATTTCCAGAAAAGTCGAAAGCAGTCCGAATTTGAAAGCACTTGAGGTAAAAGTTGTGAAAGTTCAAACTGTGAAGTTAGAAAAAAGGGTTAGTTGAATGTTCGGTTTAACGAAGATTTAACAAACAAGTCTGCAGGTTTATTGTTTCATAAAGGATGCAACAAACTGTTGCAAATTCTTTGATTTAGCATTAAACGGTCCTATGATTTGTTAAACCACTTTGACTGTGCTAAAGTTTTCGTTTGATTTAAACTTTTAATACGGGTGTATCATTCTTCAACGTGAGATTAAGAATGAGATCTGTTGTTATTTCTCCTGTAAATGAGGATCTTACAAAAAACATGAAAAAAGCAAAACCTATCCTATTCAAACTTTATATGCTTGTTTAGATAAATAAAACTGTATATCAAAATAAAATTAAAGTCATTCAAAAAGCAAATTATTGAGCAGTCTTTTTACAACAAGTAAGTTGTCTTTTTAGAATGGTCCTTTGAAGTTGACGATTTCTCCATTGAATGCGCTTCGAAAAGAAGGAAAGAAACGTCCAATTTCGCCACTTGTCACCTCGGAGCCACGACATGTTTATGATGGTAATCCTGTTTTTTTCTAAATCTCTACTTCTTTTTAACTTTTAGATATTCCACACCTGGAGATTGTCAAGAAAGAAATGTCAGTAATCGTTTAACTTTTTAAAAATTGACGTTAACGTTTTAGAGAATCCCTTGATTTTGTTAATGATTTCAATGCGCCAACGCCAGAATATCGAACGAATGAAGGGTTTGAATTGTTTATTTTTCTTATAAAGGTAAGATTTAGAAGCAACGATGATCTTTCACAACCGCCAATACTACCAATTGTCTCAGAAAAACGAAAGGAGAAGTTAAAGGAACGTAAACGTAAAGATAAAGGGTCAGTTTATTGGGGTCTTGCATTGCATAATATTTATTTTTGATCAAAACAAAAATTTTTCTTTTTTTTGCAAAGTAAGAATATATTTGTTTTAGCTTCAGTGCTTAAAATTTAAGTAAAATTAGTCCACCAGGTTCACAAGTACCCTTGTGTTTCAGCTCTGGATTTCCAACGGTTTTTCAATGTTATTCTTTTAGAGCTAATGGGAAATCTTTACCAACTGAGCCACCGCTCTTGGAACCGATTTTGCTTCCAACAATTGTGCGACATCATCTAACTCCATCACCACCTACCGGGGGTACTTTTTTTTTGCAAATTCTATGATTTTCTGTTTTCAGTTTCTCCGATTTGCACTCAACCGATTCGAATCAAAATCAAGGACCTGAACTCGAGCAGCCCATCGGCCAGTTATTCAAGTAAGCTGAAAGAATTTATTTGGTAAATTGATTTTTTTTAGCAGAGAAAGTGTCAAGCGCAACACCACCGCGAATTGCTGATCTTCCGCCAAGTAATAATTGCTTTTTCTTACGATATAAACTCAACTAATTTTAGGGGATTCCGACTCTGATGAAACGATTCCAATGGTTGAACAGTCACCTTTAATCGACGAGGAAGTTCTACAGGTACGTTTTTTTACAATTAAAAAAGTTAAAATTTTTATTTCGCGTCGAAGAGCACTTTCGAATTATTGCAATATTGCTCTAAACAGTGGGTGTAAAAATAGTTGTAGTGCCTACTACTGTACAGCGAAAAATTTTAACTGACAATTTGGGAGTATTAATTATTGAATTAATTTTAGACAACTTTCCCGCTCAACATGAGTCTCACTTCCAACCCCGATGAACGGTCAACAAAAAGAATCAAAGATGACAACAGAAATAACACTCCTATTGACCGCGAACGGGAACACAAGAAGAAAAAGAAGAAAGAAAAGGAGAGGCGTGAAAGAGAACGTGGCAAAGAGCGAGAAAGGGAAAAGGACAAAGGGAAACCTCTTCATAAGGTAAGTTTTGAAGAAATTTCATCCCTATAATTTAGATTCTAATACCTAGCAGTTCGCAAAATTAAACCCAAATCCTCTTTATTAAACTTAGCTAGTGAGTACGTCTTAATTTCATTGAATGATATTCATGATAATAATAATATTCATTTTAAACTTTAGGAAAAGGATGGCCAAAAGAAAGAAGAACGGAATCACAAAAAGGACGAGAAAAGAAAAGAGGGAGGCGATCGGAAAGCAAAAGAAGAGAAACTATTGGCTCCACTGAAAATTAAGCTTCTCAGTCCAACAACAAGTGATCCTCCGGCAACTCCTTCTGCTGTAAGTTTTCAAATCATTAAAAACGGGAATGTGAGAAAACTCAATTCAAAAGCTTATTTTTTTAATTTTAGGAGCAACCTATTGCCATTGAGCGAACAGAACCGTTGCGAATCAAAATAAAACCGATGCAGAAAGAAACTGATGAGGGGTCGGTTTCTTTTAACCACCAATTTTCACCAGGCTTCTCGCCAAATTTTCTAACCCATTTCATTTCTCGAATAGAAAAATATCCAAATAGCTCTACTCACTTAATTCTTCCTTTTTTGTTGCCTAGCTACAAAGTCAAAAAGTGTCTTCTCGAAATCAATTTGGCTAATCCGAATTACTTGTCAAAAACTTTTAGTCGCTTTGAACTCAACTTGTTTCTTTTCGTAAAAATTTTGATACTAAATCCGTCGCATAGAAAAGAAATTTTGCGTGTGTTTATTTCTTTTTGCTCAATCACTTTTCTTATCAGCGTCGACCGGCTGTCGATATCATTTGTCATTTGACGAAAATATCCATAGCATGTCATGGAAGAACCACATCAAATCTCGAGGCTGACATAATAATTGTCTTTCTCACAATGTACTCATTTTGTTCTAAATCATTTTAAACATGCACTTGCGAGTATTAGCTGGTTAATAATTCGTTCTTTTTAGCCTTCGCGTCAATTCTCCAATTCCGCCAGTGACACGTATGGGAGTTGTGACTCCAGTGCATGTTGATCAGGTGACTTTAAAGTTTCATCACTCACTTGGATTCTCTTTTTAGAATAGCAATCGTCCAAGAGTGAAGACCAAAGGTGAATTAAAAGCACTCCCAGAGTTTCCACCATTGTTCTCGGTTGATACAAAGATAATTCGACCGGCGACACCAAAGAATCGCAGTAACACATCGACACCCGTTCCGCCTGCAAGAAATAGTCCTGGTATGTGATTGGTTGTTATCTTGCTATTATATCTTAAATGGATACTTGGATAAAGCTCTCGCAATTTAAATTGATATCTTCTAGGAATATTGCTTCGCAAATTTTAGAAACCATATTGTTTTTTAGTTCCACCCTTGACTTTGAAACTTGCAAAGGACAAAGATAAGGAGAAGGAACGGGAAAAAGAGAAACATCGAAAATCGGACACCTTGAAGATTAAGGTTAGAATTAATTTCTTTAGCGGTTAAATCCTTATTTAGGACATTGAAAAGTCGACGAAGGATGATTCATCAAAAAGTGAAAAGCCTGCAAACAATATCATCAAGAAAATCAATGTTGATTTGGTCTGTGCATTTATTTTGTTTTAGTAACATTAAACTTTTAGAAAACGCCAAAGGAAAAGAAACCTGAAAAAGAAACTCCAAAGGAAAGGCCGATGACAAATGGGACAAGTAACGACGAGCAGGTTATTTGCTGTTGGTGTTGTTCTTTTCAAACAACTTATTGTAGGTTTGGATTTGTCCGCATTGTTCGGTGGCCTGGGTGGAAGGAGCTGATATGGTTGCGTGTGATACCTGCGATGGTTGGTATCATTGGTGAGTCGATCTCTTATGAGTTTATTAACATTGAATTTTCTAGGGCATGCGTCGGCATTGTCGTTGAACCACCCAAGAATCAACAGTGGTATTGTGACAAATGCACAGTAAGTATCAGTAACTTTTTGTGAGGAGTAAATTTCTTTTTAGAAAAAGAGGACACAAGTCAAGGCCGAGAAGCGAAAAAGCTCGGTGTCAGTTGGTGGAAGTAGCACAAAGAAAAGGAAATGAAGTGAGTTTTTACTCGTTTATACTTTACCATTGGCAGTGGCGCCTAGTAGGTACATGTGATTTAAAAAAATACTAACATTACTACTTAATGATCCGAGGTCGTCCGCTTTATGTGTGAAGGCGGCGTGAAACGTTTATTCATCTATTATTTCAGAGAATCCGCGACGATTGCTGCTTTTAACTTATTTCAACTGCGAGCCGTGCTCAACACTCATTTTTTTTTTGCCTTCACCTTCTCCAGAGATGCAATTGTCTGTAAATATTCTTTGTAACTGTCTCATTTTCAGTGATTCCGATTCTTTCCAGTCACAGTAGAGTCTAGTTTTCTTTTGTCATCATCTCTTTTACCAAATATGTCCAAGTCTAGCACCCTTTAATATTGGGAATTTTTATATAGATTTCCGATTGGTGTTCAACCTATGCTAAAACAAATTGGTCTCCAAAAATCTGTGTTCTTTTTTTTGCTCAAAAACTCTGATTTTTTTTGTCATAGTCTATAATCAGATTTTTATCAAGATATTCGGCTTCATAATTATCACTCTCTTTGAATTGTTCTCATCGAATCTTTCATAAAAATGTTTTTTGCTTGGTTGTTTTTTCTTCAAGAAATTATTGAATGTTTGTCACTTTTCCGGATCGGTCTCGGCATTTTTTTTTATTGTTTTTGTGAAAGCGATTGTGACTAGTTTTTATGACAGTTTAGGCCGTCATGAGTAAACTATTTTCCTCTCGACTACAATGTGGCATAAGTTGCGCTTAAGGAAAGAAAGTAGCATGGTAGCTGCTTTCATCTTTCACAAAGTCTAATTGTGCTACAGTCTTGAGAAGGAACTAAATCATCACAATTTCCTGCTAGGATTATACATTTTACGGTTAAGGTTGTGTGTAAAAATAAAGTATAGAAAAATTTGAGAACTGCTTACCTATTTGCGCAGGGCGATCCACAATTTCCCCCTTTTAAGTCCGTGATAAAATTACACTATCAAATTCGCCCAAAAATTGTTATCCATCATATAAATAGAATTGAGAATTCAGGCCTTCGCACACAAAATTCATTGTTTCTTGTTTGTTTTTGGTCTTTCAATCGGTTTAAACATTTATTTCAATGATCCCGAATTAATCTTAAAACAAACTCGAAAGACCCAGCATCAATAACTACCCGATTTTTTTTTCTGGTTGATAACGGCGGTGGCCGGACCTAGGTTCTGTTGTGTAACGATTTGCTTTTTATCCACTTTGATCTAAAACAAAAAAACATTAGTCTGTACATATTTCACATTGCTAAAATTTACCGATGTAATATAAAAGTTGTTTAGTTGATAGTTGATAGTCGAAACCAGCATAATTTTTGTTAAGAATTCCTTAAGAAATTTTTTAGGGGAAGGGGGTTAGAAAAAGAACAAACAGTTATTTCTATGAAAAGATAGTTGGTGAAAACCAATTGATCTTCACGGTATTTTTGACCGTTCCAACCAATACGTTGAAGAGTCGGTTCACGACTAAAGCTTACGACATTTAGCTACAGGAACGCTATGAAGTACACACAATAACTTTGAAAAAAGATTGAATTTACTTCAAGAAGTGTTCGTGCAATTATTTCGCGTTTTATTAACTTTAATTAATTCAAGTAGTCGACTCTTTCTGGCTTTGACTTTCAACGTATTGGTTGGGGCGGTCAAAAATAGCGTGAAGATCAATCGGTTTTCACCAACTATCTTTTCATGGAAATAACTGACACTTGCACAACTAAAAGAATGACTAATGGTAGATGCAAATATGCAATTTATCATGCAATTGCAATTACATCGGCAAACTGCCTCAAATCGAATGTAGGGGACTGTGAAATGCAGGTTGGATTGTTGATGAAATGAGTAATCCTTCCGTTGATCATCGCATTCAACAATGGATTTGTTCCTCGCATCAATTTAAACAGCAATTTGCTAAAACAGGGATAAAAGCTATGCTGACGAGCTAAAAGCTATGCCTAAAACCAATCTAAGAAAGGAATCGAACGATTCGGTGGGGAGAATCTTAATTGTATTGTAATGTAGGTATTGTAAAAGACTTAATCAACAGATCAATCAGCAACTTTCATATTACATCGGTAAATTAACAGAAGTTCAGATTGCATATCAAAGTGCGATCGGAATCAGTTTAAAGAATAAATCCTTAGTTAAATCCTATCGGCTAAGCGTCCTGGATGGTTGGAGGTCCCATAACTTCATACCTATCATCAGTAGTATGCCAAACCAAAAGGAACATTAAAGAAAAAAGTTTGAAATCTCACTTGCTCACGACCATCGAGACTCTGAATTGGAAAGACTTGGGCTGGAAGAGCTTCAACGATTTGACGTGGCAAACGAGCAGGAGTACTTCCATAAACCCCACGACAAAAACGTTCCTAAAGCATTTAATTTACTTTTAAAACAGAATCTTGCGTGTTTTTGATCCACATCCGTCCTCAATCATAATAAAAGAAGAAAAAGTTTGAAACCTCACTTGCTTACGACGCTTGAGACCTTGAATTGGGAAAACTTAGGCTGGGCGAGCTTCTTCAACCATCTGATGTGATGAATGAAGAAATTTCTAAAATAATTCAATTTGAAAAAAGAATTTTGCGTTTAATGCTATAAACTTGGGTAAATTTTCAAATCTAGTTCAAATTTCTAAGCTAGGATCTTCAAGCAATGAAACAAAAATAAAAAGAAGTTAAAAACAAACCTTGTGCTCCTTGCAACCGCTCATCGAGACGAGAAAAGTAGAAAATTAATTTGCAGAGGTTTGACTTTGTTTATGAATCAGTTCACTGCAAATTTTTGAACTTCCATGCTAAAATGCAAGTTAAACGTTGAAAAAAAAACTCAACTATGACAAAAGAAACGACTTATAGACAAGAGTTGAGTCATAAAATGATTAACATTCGATGGTCAAATGCTTATCGCAATACCTCTAATAGTAGCGCCCCTGGGGGTGGGACAAATGCGACCTTTTTTTGCGCACCTGGACATTTGCGCACCTTTTTTTTTGCTGGAAAAGCCTTAGAAAAGGTCGTAGAGCTTCAAAAATGTTTTCATATAAGGGAATCGTATGCGTAGATTCCGAATTTCGACAAATCAGACCTCGCTGACACGTCAAATTTGGGCTAAAAGGCAAAAACTACGCAACTTAACGCTTTTCCGCAGTTTTTGCCTTTTAGCCCGAATTTGACGTGTCCGCGAGGTCTGATTTGTCGAAAAAAGGTGCGCAAATGTCCAGGTGCGCAAAAAAGGTCGCATTTGTCCCACCCTCAAAGGAAAACGAAAAAAAAACGCCAGTTTTAACACTCACTTGACTGCAATAGACTTGTTGGGTAATTGAACCAAAATACAGTCTTTTTTTGTACCAGACAGCCAGCGATTATGCGTTAGCACAAAGTACACATTTCATTTTGATTATAAAACCTTGGGGCATTTCTTTCTTGGGGCAAGATTTTTCGCTTTCTTCCAAAATTGGTTGTACTTTGTGCTGCAAATTTTTAAACACACCCTTTCTAGTGCACTGAATCCGTGATTTTTCCTGTGAATTTAAATCGTTGCCGTGGGAAAAATGAAGATTTCAGTGCATAGGGTGTGTTTACAAATTTTCAGCACAAAGTACACACATCATGACAAAATTTCGAAAGGTTTCACCTTTGATTTCAAAAAGTTTCATCGATAAAAACACAATTTCAGCAGCTCTTTGAAATGTTCTAAATATTGCCTATTTCTCTTTTTTTTTTCAAATATTTGAGAGCAATGATCGACAACGTTTTTGTGTTCAGAAAAATGATAGGATTTGCATTCGAAAAATTGCTCATTGCTCATTGCCTTTCAAAGGAAAATTTTGGTTTTTTGGTTTCAAGCATTTTTGAAAAGATGCTATTGGGATAAAGTTACTGTACTTTGGTGATCTTATTTAGACTTACAAGCGCACCGAGTCAAGCTCGCCTTTTGACTTGAGACCAAGTCCATTTTCTAGTGTCGTCTGTGGCGATCGAGAATCCGTTTTTAGTTTTTGCAGAACGCGTGGCATCTAAACTCATTAAGAAACCGCCACACGCTCCCGCAATTAATGACTAGTGGATAGTCTGCTAGACTGCCGAACTGCTAGATGGTCTGCTAGACTTCCAAACTGCTAGATAGTCTGCTAGACTAGACGAGTGGTCTAGTGGACAGTCTGCTAGACTGCCGAACCCGTCACATTGTTCCCCCTCAAGTTCGAGTCCCACTATCGCCGAACTTTTTCTCCTCTTTTTCTTTTTCACCTAAAAATCCTTACATATTTGAATTATTGACTCGAATTTCACACACCGCTTTCCGTAACTTCAACAAATAATTTACAAAAGATCAGAATCAGTAGGCAAATCTTGAAAAATAACAAAATAACAATAAAAAATTTAACATTTCTTTTGGTGGTCTCATGTAGCATTAAGCAGCTGCGTATTGGGTAATTAAACCGTGTTGTTGCTCCTTTTTGTGTGCCAGCTTGCAGATGTTCTATTGTAGATCTATTGTAGCTCTATTGTACTTTGGGCTCAAGCCTAAACGCAACCTTTTGGGTGCAATCAATTCTTCATTTTCTTCGCGACACCGAAACGTTGCTGCGAGAAAAATGGAGAAGTCAGTGCACTAGAAAGGGTGTGTTTACACGCAAAATTGCAAATTCACGCATAAAGTACACTCAACGAGTTATTGAAGAGCGCAATTCACTGATTTTGGCTCTTTAGGTCGAAATACAGCTTCAAGCACTTTGCGGAAAAACATTTCCAGTAAGTGAACCATTGTTGAGCCAGTGATACCACTAATTTACTTTTAAATCATCGAAGCATTCAGGTCCTGGGAATATAAATACTTCTTTCACAAAGAACGCTTCAATGTAGCAAGACCGCACGTCACCAGCACAAATATACTGAAAGTAGGCTGCGATGGGATTACGGTAGCTTTGATATTTTTTAGAAAACGGATTACGGTAGCTTAGATATTTTTTAGAAACTCAAGCATGTCAAGTTCAATGTTGGTAAATAGGAATCGATTTTTTTGTTGAATTGCGATTTTCGGAACCATTACTTTCCCCGCATCTCATAGATTCCGCAAATTTTTGTCCCTTTCCCCCTTTTTCTCTCCCTTTTTTTTTATTGTGTTCATGTGAGTAGACTCGATTTTTTTTTTCTTTTCTTCAATAAATATACATTTTACACCTATTGTAGTTGATTTTTCTCTGGAAATTGGAACTTTTTTTTGCAAAAAATCATGGGGTTATTTACCTAATTCTTTGGGAAAAGATCAAGTGGAGATCATTGGATTCAAGTTTCGAATAGGTCACAAATTCTTTGGATTATTGCTCTTTGTGCTTTATTGATTTGATTGATTTGATTGAAAGTTGATTTCAAAAGTTTCTTCTCTTCAAAGTTCAAATCAAGTTTTCAGCATTTCATTCAAAGAAAATCATATCTCTTCTTTGCTTTTCAATATCTACCAAGACAAACTCAATTCAAACAATTACAATATTTTCTTTTAAGAAGAGATTCATGGCTATTGAATGACTATAATAGTTTACCGTAAATGCAAATAGAGTGTCGCACGGCGCGCCGTGCGCCGCGGCGTCGCATCGGCGCGAAATAAGGCAAAAATGCGTTTTCTATTGAATTTTTCTGGGAGTACCTTTTTTAGATGCGGAAAATGGTGCTGATTCCGAATCTGAAGGAATTTTTCAAATCCCTCTAACAGAAATTTTTTAAATTTAGTTTTAGCGGTTTTTTGGTCATTTTGTATGGGAAATTTTGTGGTACCCTGCAGTTTGGGGCTCGTAACTCGACAACGAGGGTCTAGAACCAAAAACGAAGGGATAAGTCTTATTCTAGAGACTCTTACGAACATTTTGATACAAAAATCATCAAGTTTGCTCAACTCTAGAGGTCGACGCGTCGCCCTCTAGGAGCGCCGCGTAGTCTAAATTTCCTCTAAAAGAACCGCTCACATCTCGGCGCCCAGACATTTGTTTCTGCGCGTTTTGGTATCAAATTGAAGTAGAAAGGATGGGTGATTTTTTGAGCTATAACACAGATTTTTAGAATTAACTAACGCTTAGAAAAAAATGATTGAAAAGTCGCAAAGAAGCAAAGTCATTTTTCATCATTCGTTGTTCATGTGCTGTAGCTTAAAAGTGTAGTGTAATCTAGTGCTACATAATATTGTGGAATATGACAAGCTATCATAAGTAGATTGTGTTCCTCGCGAGTAATGCGTTTTTTAAAACGCACGATTGGGAAAAAATTACCGTACTTTTAGCAAAAATTATTGCAAAAAAATGACGAGCCCCGCGCATTATATATGACACTTTTTAAAGATACTCAGCTGATTAACTGATTTCGTCGGAAATTCCCTTCCAATGTAAAAAAATGTTTTTTTTTTTTTGAAAAACCTCCGCAAAAAATTGCTTTTATATTTTTTATTTTACTTTTATACGCAGGCGCACTTTTTAGAAAACGCATTACTCGACAATTACTCGAGCTATTACTCATGCTAATTTACTCGAGTAATTACTTACTCGCGAGGAACACACTCTAGTCTTTAGGGTTTACTTTGTACTTTAGCTCTAGTAGCTTTAGTTCTAGCAGCTTTAGCTCTAGCAGCTTTAGCTCTAGCAGCTTTAGCTCTTTGATATAGCTACTCTATATCAAAGCATACAATTGATCTCGTTCATTTTCTCGATTACTCAAATCTACCATAATTTCTATCTAATATTACTTTTTGGATCTTTCGATATCCTTTTTGAATTCTTAAAGAATCAAACAAAAAGTAGGATTGAAGAAAAAGAGATAAGTTTATCGTAGAAAAGAAATGAGGGCACGGTTTAGAGCACTGACCAGAGCACTGGCTCTAAACCTCTAAACTCTAAATCGTTTAGAGCAAGCTCAAGCTAAGAGTTTAGTTTTAGAGTGCCAGAGCCTAAATAGGTAATGTTTTCTAAAACTTGTCACTTTTTTCTTAAACTATCGTAATCGTTGCTTTTCCCAATCTGCTCATTTCTTAAAGGCTTTAATCAAAGATTTCCAACTTTAATACAATAATTTTTCTTTTCATATTCTTTTAAACTTATTTCTTTAACGTCAAAAAATGTTTAAAAGAGAAAAATCAAAAATCAGCAGACAGAAATGTGGCGGCAGCAAAAAATCCCATTCAATGACCCATCAATTCTGACTTTTTTCTATTTTGAACCCAATTCATTCCCGTTAAAAATAGGCAAACGAAAAATCCATACAGAAATATGAAATAATGACAAAATCGAGAGATTTTAACGCTTTTATGAAGCTTTCAAAGCTTTCAAAGCTATAAAAGCTATAAAAGTTATAAAAGCTTTCAAAAAAGGATTCTCTTTGAAAGTTTAACAAATTTTTTCCCTAGAATCACTTAGCGCTCAAAATTTGTAAACACACCCTTTCTAGAGCATTGAATTCTTGATTTTCTCTTGCAGCAACGGCTTCTCGTCTTACCGAAATCAGAATTCAGTGTGTTTACAACTTTGAGCAAGATACAGCCAAGATACAAGATCACTTTTCAAGCATTGGATCTTTAGCCTCATCTCGACCAACTCTAGATAAATCTAGTCTAAAATGCCGCAAGAATACATATGAGTGTAACTAGAGTTCAACTTTGACACCAGAGTAGCAGTCGGAGTCGGCTCAGTGAGCAGAGTGAGCTCAGTGAGCAATTCACCAATCCGCTTAG